CATGAGTTTAAAGCCAGCTTCAGCAAAAGTGAGGCACTAAGCAACTCAGTGAGACACTGTCTCTAATAAAAAAAATAATAATAATAATACAAAATAGGGCTGGGGATGTGGGCTCAGCGGTTGAGTGCCCCTGAGTTCAATCCCCAGTATCCAAAAAAAAAAAAAAGAGATATTTATAGTCCTCAGGTAATGGAGACATTGATCAGTAAAGAATTAGAATATGACCTGAGAAAAAGTCCACAACTGGTCCTAGAGTATACTTACCAGATAAGAGAAAGAAAAATAAGTCAATCAGGGGGAGAAGTCAGACTGAGAGGAGGACCAGGACAGTATAATGTAATTTCTCAAAGTAAAAGTTTAGGCATACCACCCATCCCCCAGGCTTAGTGACTACTGACCACAGGGAACAAACAAACACCTTTAGCAATTTTCAGAACAAAAATCATAATGAGACTATAGAGGCTAATAACACTCACAGCTTTCACTTGATTTTTTTTTTCTTTAATAAATATGGCTTGAAATAAAGGAAACCTATTGACTTTGTGCCCTTATTTAAGTAAGATGCTTAGGTAAAAATTCACTACACAATACGCTGAAAGGAGTTGTAGATTTCTCTTTCCATTTGAATAAGGATTAATATCAGAACTAGAAATATGGATGCACATTTATTTACTAAATGATAAAGTACATTTTGCTTTTCTTAGCTTTTATCAAAGTTATAGGAAGAGGATTGAAAGAAAAAAGGAAAGTGGTCCATATGCCTTCCAAATGACAATAAGAAGTCAACCTAAGATTCAACATCTGAAGTGTCTAACCCGGAAGGTTAAACCAGGATGCCAGTGAGAAAAAGCTTTATAAAGTTTGAACCATATAAAATTATTGATGTACAAAAAGTACTCTCATATTTCATATGTTCCTTAGAAAACCTAAATTAACAAGTAGTCATTCTCTACCAAAAATTTCTGTGTTATTGATTTGATTTCTGTCTTTATAAGCAAAGAGGAAGGATGCTTCTATAAGCCAGACCCTGTGGCCATGCCTGTAATCTCAGTAGCTCAGGAGGCTGAAGCAGGAGGAATGAGAGTTCAAAATCAACCTCAGCAAAAGCGGGCGCTAAGCAACTTGGTGAGCGCCTTTCTAAATAAAATACAAAATAGGGCTGAGGATGTGGCTCAGTGGTTGAGTGCCCCTGAGTTCAATCCCCAGTACAAAAAAAAAAAAGAGAGAGGAAGGATGCTCCTATACCTAAGTATATCTATATATAGTATATCCATTGGAATACAAGCCTTTAGACACCAGAATAAACTTTTTTTTTCCAAGTTTATCTGGTCCTACTTCATGATTGAAGAATAACACCAAACTTCAGAATTTTATATACACCAAGAAAAAGTGATTAACCCAAGGGAGATCCTGGAGGTTTGGGAAAGTCTCTACAAGTTGTTGCTATGAAGGCCAAGGTAAGTCTTAAATTGCAAGAAAGTTGGCACAAACCCATTACCTTCCATGCAACTGAAAATCTGCTCTTCTGCAATCATTTTGAGGATTCCAGGAAGCCCCAAAAGCTAGCATACACTTACACCAAAAAAATAGCTGGGTAAATTCCCATGATACCAGAATACTGGGTAATTTCCAAGGGCAGAGTATTCCAGAAAAATGCAAATAGTTCAGGTTCTCCCAAAGAAATTCCAGGCAAATATAGAGCTGCTCTTTAGAAAAGTCTAAACACAAACTGCAGTTCTGGAGTTTGGATGAAGTCAAAAGCACAAAGACAGGAAAAACATTTCTGACCTACAGGGGATTCTAACTTACCACTGTATTCTTTTCTCTCATCCCCATTTCATATTCCTTGTGCAGAGCATAAAATGCAGTGATATTTGCTACTACCCTTTTAGCAATTTTCAGGTCTCAAATAACTTCAATTTGTTTTAAGTTTACATGAAAATTAAGATGCCTTCTTTTCAGTACTCAAAAGGATACCTCAAAAAAAAAAAAAAAAGCTACTGCCAAAAATTACTCTTCCCATCATCTCCCCAAGAATTTACCACCAAAACACTCAGCTAGTTCATAATAAAGTAGTCTAAAAATCTCTTTTAACAACTCTAAAATACTGTAGCAAAAACATTATTTTAAATGAAGTGTTCCAAATAATATCAAAAAGACTCAACCACCACTGGAGCTCACAATACTACTCCCCAGGCTTTAGAAAGCTTTCTATGAGAGAAAGCTGGTCATGGAAATGAAGTTTCACTATTTATAAATATTGCACTGGTTTAAAAGATTCTGGGTTTTCCAAAAGTCTTAGGTTCCACTTTATTTAAAACATTATGACAGTTCTAGCTAATGCTAAAACAAGTGTAAGACAGATTTCACATACATCCCCCCAAACACGAAAGGCACATTCCTCAAATAAAACCAGTTTCTAAGGAACTACATCAAAAGATAATTTTTAGACACTAACTGCTTTTCAATTACTCTGTCCTATGCAGCAAATGACTTTTTTAAATTCTCAAGCAGGCCCCAGGAAGCAGAGTACAAGAAACTATATTTAATTAACGATTCAGTCTAATTCCCAGTAGTAAATCGCAGGAAATATTTTGTTCCAAAGCAGCCTTTCCTCAGTCCTAAAACAGTTAAGTATGGGTTCATTTGCATTTTAAAACTGGATTCTTAAGTTAAAAGTCATAGTAAAATTTCTCCCTTTTATAAATTTATGATCTTTCAGATCTGAGAGTAAAACTTGGTTTTGCAAGTAACTCATTTTTATGAAAACTCTAGCCAGAAGACTAGTTATGAGTTAGAACAGTTCAGGTTGTTTCCTTTCTTCTTAAAATACCCTTTTACTCAAACTGAAAACACACTCTGACTTGCACCCACTGACTCCCATTACACCTGAAACATCTACTCATTTAAGAAAGGCAGCCTGCTTCCTCCCAAACTCCACTAGGTTCAATGGGAACTATTGCTGGGCCTCTAGTTTTAGACACTTACAGGTCTCCTGGCCACAGTAAGCAAAAAAAAAAAAAAAAAATTTAATAAAATAATTATTCTTAAAAAAAATCAGAACAAGAACCTACTAAAATGGTCAACAGTGTAATATGACCTTGGAATCTATTTTTAATTTTTTTTTAATTTAAGTTATACTCCTAGCTTAAGAATACATTGGCAAAGCCATTTGAGAAGCAAAATTAAAAATATCCTAAAACATTGCCTTCTCTATCTTTAAGGAATTCCAGCAAGCTGAAATAGGTTGTATGCAATTCCAACGACATAAAAGAATGGTAATAAGGAATGCTCCCCCCCCCCCTACAAAGGATTTTTCAAATAGTAAATACTTTATAATAGCTGAAATAGGATTGATATAGGAGCAAGTCAGTCAAGTACTTAAATTCAAATGTTAAGTAAAATTGGATTTGGCTGACAATCCTGATTTTTTGACTTAAAATATGCAACAGGTCGAGCTTAAAGAATGTATTTTACTTTTTTGAAACACTCGATAAAATTGCATGTAATGCCTAGTAATGAAGTTAGCAGTGACACCTTTAAAACACACTTTGGAAAAAATAAAAGATCTCTTGGCTCCTTTTCCAGGAACTTCAATATGACATGAATAACATGACCTTTTTGACACACATTAAGCACAGGGAAGTCTGTAAAACAACCTTGGTGTAACAATCCCGCGGCAAAGACGGATCTTTATGAAGCAGTACCGTCAAGAAGAGGAACAAGAAGGGGTGAGAAAGGTGACTGTTCAACTGAAGAGCCCTTGTATCAATCCCACCACCTATGACAGTGAGAAACTGTCAATATGGGGAGGCCGCGTGGCCCGCAGACTTCCCGGTCAGGCTGCCAGTTCTTCCTAAGGACAGCAGGGCCTTCACCGCCTCGGGGTGCGGACGGGCCAGCCCCTACCCGGTGCCTCTAGGCTCCACAAATCTACAATCCTCCGTCGAGGCCGGAGGTCCTGGCCAGTTCTCGAGGCGCGCACTTCAACTTCGACTTCTCCCAAACACTGGTCACAAAGCTCCCGGCCCTGCCCCTCAGCGCTTCACAACACTTCGGTGGGAGGCAAGAGAAAGCGCACAACATTCCCAGCCCCTGGCTAACTACAATCCTCACACACACTCCGGATCAAGTTTGGGGGCGGTTCCCTCCATGAAAAAGTGCTGGAACCCGCGGCCCGGACGCGCTGGCCCTTTAAAGGCGCTTGCTTCCTGAGCCCGCGATCCCTCCCTCGCCGCCGCCAGCTCCCGCCCCCGCCGAGGGTCACACTTGAACTTTAGCTCGCCCAGCGCGGCCAGTCGCCGGCGCTCCAAGAGCGGTGGCCGCCCCTTCGCACGTGTCGGAGGCGCTACCTCGGGCTCCGCGCGCCCGGCCCCCTGCATTCGGGGCCACTCTAGATAAAACCAAAAACAAAGCAAAATGCGCACTGCCTCCAGAACCTGCGCGTCGCGTCGCGCACCATCCCCAACCGGTTGTGCCCTGCCTGTGCCCTACACCTGCAGCCTGGGGGCCAGGAAGGGTTTCCAGTGCCCCTCGTAGTGCTCCGCTGGGCCCCGCGCAGCGGAAACGGATCGGCAGCGCGGCCCAAGGCTGGAGGAACGCGCACCGCGGGGGCGGAAAGGAGCCGCCCTCCCCTCGGAGGTGCTAGAGAAAAGGAGACACACTCCCCGAATGAACCCCTTTCTCATTTTACCCTCAAACTTTTCTACCCATCCCGATGTCCGCTCCGTGGCATTAATTTCGTCACTCCTTAAAACCCAAACCCTGTTCCCTGTCCCACCAGAACTCCCTTGCGCGCGCGCACACACACAGACAGACACTCTAGTCCCCCGACCAGTCGGGAGCAAGCCCCCTACCACACCTGCCACTCTCGTCCGCTCTCTCCACACGCGCCACTTTCCTACCCTGCGCTTTCAGAGGCAGGGCAAACCTGCACAGCCTTCACTTCACCTGCCCCACGGCGCCCCCACGCTCTGGCCGCGCGCCCCGAGGTCGCTCACCTTCCAGCCAGCGGAACTGTTGCTGTCACCCTTATCTTTGAAGTAGGGCACGCTCTTGACCATCCACTCGTAGATCTGAGACAGTGTAAGCCTCTTCTCAGCCGAGCTCTCGATGGCCTTGGTGATAAGGTCGGCGTAGGACAGGTTGCCCCACGCGTTGCGGCGGGACGAGCTGCTCTTACGAGGCTGCCCCGCGAGCGGCCCCGCGGCGGGGGGAACCGGAGGGTGCTGCGACAGCGGCCCGGGCGGCGGAGGCTGCGGCGGCGCCGGATGCAGGCAGCCCGCCTCGGGGCCCTGGAAGTCCCCGCACAACCCCCCGGTGGCGGCAGCTGCGGCCGCCGCCACCGCCGCCGCCACGGAGCCGGGCGCCTGCGGGAAGTCCTCGCTCTCTTCCAGCAAGCTCAGGTTGCTCATGAAGTCGGCGCTGACAGCGGCCGCCGAAGCTGGGGGCAGGCCCGCTGAGGCGTCGGGGTTCGCAGCTGCGCCGCCCGACGGCGCCGGACTGGAGGTGGCCGAGTTGGACTGGCTAAACTCCGGCCTGGGCAGCGGCCAGGTGCACGAGCGCGGCCGGGGCAGCGGCTCGAAGTCCGGGTCGATCTCCACCACCTGGGGCGCTTCGGCCATGGTGACCCCCCGCCCCTCCCCCAGCCGCGGGAGAGCCTAGAACCGGGAGAGCGCAGCACCAGGGTGCGGAGGGGAGGGGGCGCCAAGAGCCGGTCTGAGATTTGGGGGGCCGAGGTCGGCGCCGCGAGCGGACGGAAACCGGGAGAAAAGCGCGGCGGAGTAGGAGAGCGAGCCCAGAACTTAACTTCGCGGGTCCATCAACATCCAGGCTCCTCCGGGTTCGCTGCGCGGACGGGACTGCGGGCCGGAGCCGCCGGGCCAGGCAGCGCCAGCACTGCGCTCCTGCTGACAGGGCCGCGGACACAAAGACAGACGGACGGACACCGCGAATAGCTAGCCGCTCGCTTTCCCCCGCGGCGCGACAGCGGCGGTGCTGCCTGTTGAATGTGGCGGCGGCGGCTGCAGCAACTACGCGGCCGCCCGACTTACGGGATCTGCTGCCGCCCCCCGCCCGCGGCGGCGCGCGCGCCGGCCCGCCCCTAACTGACAGCCCGCACAACCAATGTAAGTGCGCCGCCACCGCCCAGGCAGCCAGTGGGCGCGGGCCTGGGCGGGGGCTGGTTTTCCACAGGGAGGAGGCAGTGGGTTGGTGGGGGGTAGTGGGGTGTTTTTCTCTTTCTCTCTTACACTCTCTCTCTTGAGTCTCTGTTATTATTTTCTGGTAATTCTCGAATGTTTCTGTGAGTCTCTCGCCCTCTCAGTGTTTTGATTGCTAGGAGGCAAGTCAGCGTGGAGGCGGCGGCGACACTTTTGTTTACTACGGAGGAGCAAAGCCGAGTACTCGAGAAGCCCAAGTGGAACAAGTCACCCGCTTCGCCCAAACGAGCCGCCCCCTCCTCCGAGCCCAAACCCTGGTGGGGCGGGGCCCAAGACGCAGCTCGATGCGGGGGCGCGGGTGGGCGGCGCAGGCGACCTCGCGGAATTCCACGCAGTCGCCCCCCTCTCTTCCACCCACGTCTTTAGAGACCGACGTGGGGAAGTCGGCGGTGTTGGTTTTGTAGAATGTTTTCTTTCACTGCGATCTGTCAAGTTGTCCAGCCCCCATGCGGTCCGCACACGCCCCCCAGCGCCGCGGCCCTTGCGGTCAGGTCCTAGTGGAGGGTGCGCTATCCGCAGCCCCAGCGCAGGGATCCCACCTGTAGGCACCCGGGAGCTGAGTCTCAGCCATTCCATCTACCCTGGGCCAGTTGCCCACCCTCAGCCACTATCCGGATTCACTGCATTTTCAACCTAAAAACCTAAGAAAATTGAGGAAAGGGGGCCCGGCGCCAGGAGAAGATAACTCCGGTTGAACACGCACACGCAGATCCACAGACACCCTAGACCACATGCTGTGGGGACCTCTTCCCCTGAGCGGAAACCTCATTAGGTCCAAAGGGGTCAGAGGACAACGTTTAGTGAGAACCATGTCACTTTATTACTTACCCCTAATTAAGCTTAGCTGGTTCCTTGATGTTTCTTTTTTATTTAGGATGGAAGTGATGAGGTGTTGAGTAAAAACGCAAAAGCAGACAAGAGCAGAGCCTTGGGGCACAGCCCTGCCCCACCCCCAGCTTCTTTTAGGCTGCCAAGCCCCCACCCCCACCCCACCTTTCCTCATCTGGGCTCCTGGTTCAGGACGTCCTGTACAGGATCAGTGAGGCCAAAGGTAGAAGACAATGGCCTTACTGTCTGTCATGGAGCAGAAGACACAGTTTTCAAGTTTTGTTTTGTTTTGCTCTTGCTTTTTTAGGGGGAATATGGAAGGCATTTCCTTTTAGAGGGATGGGATCACTTAGAATGGAAGGTAGTCAGTAGAGTTTAAATATCTTATTTAAAACCACAGCTCCTAATTCTTTAAAATTAAAAAAAAAAATCCCCTTTCTTACAAGTAATTCTTCAAGTGGCATCTAAAAAGAACTAGGCCTCTTAAAAGTTAAAAAAGACTTAGAGATTTATTTATTTCTCTTCATTCTATCATTTCTGTATCTATTTCTTCATCATCCGTTTATCACAACAGCTTTCCACTGATAATGGAGCAGGGGTGGGAATTTGGAGACGGATAATAGGAAATAGGAGTTCGTTGCCACCCTCTTAGTGTAGTGGTCTCTTTACATTTACTGTCAAAATTGGATCGGTAGGGCCTCCTCTGCCAACTGCTAGGGAACCTCAGTAACCCAGACGATGAGCTCAAAGGAAGGCCACAAAGTACAACTCCTACCTCCATCCTTTCCAATTACACTCTGCAGAAGCAGCCCCCATTCAGACAGCCGCACCCTACAAAGAGGCGGGTGACATACTGCATCATTCTTGGCAAAGAAAACCAGCTGCAAATTTGGCTTTGCCTTCAATTCCGTTCTGGTTTTTCAGGGCCTCAATCACGGGAGAGTATTTGTTTAAGGAAGTTTTCCTATAGACTTTCCCAAAATTCTTGAAATTTCTGGAACTGTTTTATTTTATTTTATTCTGGGTATCGAACCCAGTGGTTCTCTACGGGGCTACTTCTCCGGCCCCCATTTTTTATATTTATTTTTTATTTTGAGATAAGGTCTCTCAAAATTGCCATGCCTGACTTGGAACTTACCATCCTCCCATCTTAGCCTCTGAGTTGCTGGGATTACAGGTATGTGACACCATATGGAGTGTTACGATTATTAGTCTTACACAAGCCTCTTATTTACCTAAAAGGAAATGGAGACACTGAGAATTTAAGTGATTTGCCCAAAGGCAGTTAATAGTGCTGGGACCAGAATTCAGATCTCCTAGTGCCCAAAGCCTTGAGCATCCTAAACATGCACTTTAACACTGAGCTACACTTCCAGCCACCAGGCAAAAACACTTTATATTTCCTTACTTTGCTTTTTGTGGCATTACCTTTTGCAAGTGGGTTTTTTTTTCAGACTATTTGATGCAAATTTATCCTATTTTAAACACTAGGTCTTTAACTCTTTTAAATAATCCAATAACTCAAACCCCAAACAGCATACACATTAAAATTAACATTTTTCTAACATTGAGGCCTCTTAGCATTTCCCTAAAATTAATGGATGGCACATGAAATTCCAAATTCTCTGAATGTCACAAAATCTGAACCTTGCATTCATGTTTGAAACACAATGTGTTTTCACTATTTTATTTCTGTTTCTTGTCATATTAAAACTCTTAACATGCTTCTCAAAAAGGGGGGACATATGTATTAAATAAGAAAATGCTGTCATGTAGAACACAGATGGCAGGGCATTTTTGGCAGAAAGGAAGTTTAACAAGGCGTTTTACTGATTTACTTGGAAAACTAATGTGCATGAATGTTCAAGTTAAGCAGTAAGAAATTAATTGCTATTTTACAATAATCAGTTCATTTTTTCCCTAATCTAATTTAGCCCTATTTCCATAACATTATAACAGGGAAAGGGATCACATGTGATTGTAAATAAACAACTAAGAGTGTCCAGGATAGGAATAGAAGAATGGAGGAAGAAGAAACTGCTAGCATTTTATGGTAACTAACCATGTTGCTTGTCATTGATAAAAATCATTAACAAGAGGTAATGACTGTGTAGTTAGAGTGCATGTGTTTTTAATATGATACATAGAGTCATTGACTGTGTCCGTTTGGGTATAAAAACAGCGGGCAAGAGTTTATCAAATTTCAGATTTGGCTGACTCAGAGGGCCCACCCATATGCAAAGGGTCCTGTGCCAGAAAGTAAGCATAGATGAATGGTGAATATTTCTCCAGGATGTCAGGTTTCTATTTTGTGGTAAATACAGCCTTACACACACACTGAAGTATTCTGTATTCTAAGGTTTAACATTTAAAAATGGAATTTCTAATCAGCTGATCACTGATGTAGTGCTGGAGGAAAATTTGGTTTGTGTCATATGATGCCATATGTACTTTAAATAATTTTGTGTTTCAACAACAAACCAAAAACAGAACATTTGACAGTTATGTTGCATGTGAGATCCAGAAGGCTCCAACCTGGAAAAACTCTTCCCACAATCCAACATTAGGCTCCATAAAATCTTGCTGGGCATGGTGGCACATGCCTGAAATTCCAGCAACTTAGGAACTGAGGCAGGATAATCACAAGTTCCAGGTCACCCTCAGTAAGTTAGTGAGGCCCTAAGCAATTTAGCAAGACCCTATATCAAAATTAAAAAATTAAAAATGACCAGGGGATGTGGCTCAGTGGTTAAGTGCCCCTGGGTTTGATCCTGATACAAAAAACAAAAACAAACAACAACAAAAACTTACTTTGTTTTAGACTGATAAATCGTCTGAAAAAAAATGATATGTAACATCATATGTCCTGGGTTTAATCCCTAGCACCCCCCAAATAAAAGACATGGTATACATACATGTGTACATATCTTGTTTGAAAATGTTTTCAATTCTAAAGCATAATTTTTTTTAATAATTGTAGATGGTCAGCGTGCCTTTATTTTATTTTATTTTTTTATGTGGTGCTAAGGATCGAACCCAGTGCCTCACACATGCTAGGCAAGCATTCTGCCACTGAGCTACAGCCCCAGCCCATAATTTTTTTTTTTTTAATCCAGAATCAGGATATACACATTAGTGGTGCAGCTCAGAAGGTAGAGTTGTCGTTGCCTAGCATTGAAGAGGACCTGGGTTATTTTCCCTGCACTGAAAGAAAAAAAAAAAAAACCCATACACATAAAAGTAAATTTTTTAATGCTTCAGTGTTAATAAAAACTTTTTCATCAAGCACTTTACAGCTATTACCTGAATAAATCCTTCAAAATACCCAATAATGTAAAAGCATGACTTACCTTTCACAGAAATTAAAACTGAGGTACAATGAGCTAAGAAATTAACCTAAAGCCTTATCTATGAACCTTATCTAATTATATTCAGACTTAAACAACCATTATTCAAACTCCTGTTCATCTCCTGTTTACTACACTTTCTGCCTCCCTAAAATGTTGGGATTTTTCTAATAGACTAGAAATTAACTTCTGCTTCAAAATTTTTTTTCCAAAAAAATTGATATTTGAAATAATTTTTCTTTCTTGGGTACTTGTTGCCAATTAGCTCTGCCTGGAAGCAGTTCAGTTTGTGATAAAAAGCCTAAAGACAACATAAATAACAATAATAAAGCTGATGTTTGTTTGCATTTGTATAGCACAAATCAGGTAGGGGATTTTGAGCTATTAGCACTTGCTTAAACAATCAGCCACAGTCTGAATACAAAAAGAGCAACCACACCTTCCAGAATGTTGGTTTATCTGGAACTCTTTCCAAAACTTTCCTTATCCTGAATAAAAGCACATCAAATCAAGCTCAACGGCCATATTGAGCTCTCTCTGCACCAATGAAAGTGATTAGTGTTGGATTTTTATCCAAAAGCCTTCCCCCTCACTCAGTCAAGTTGCAGAGCTTGGATTTAGAACAAACATATTTTAATGGTGAGTCTTATTCCAACTATATTTTATC